TAACCACTGTGCTACAGGCACCAAGTCATTTATTTTAATCATTTTTGAATAGATAATGCATTCACATGCCTCAAAATTCAAAAGATAACAGAGGCATACGTTGAAAATCCTTAATTGCATCTCTGTCACCAGCCCCCAATTTCCCTTCATCAGAAGTAACTAATCCTATAAATTTCTTTTATACGCTCCTTGAAATATTCTGTACAACAATTTGAATTAGATATCCTTCTTTTTCTCTCTCTCTCTCTTTTAATGCAAGTTGTTTTGCACCTCATTTTTTCACTTTCAAATATACGCTTGGGGGGGGCTGCTCCTGTGGCTCAGTGAGTAGAGCACCGACCCCATATACTAAGGGTGGCGGGTTCTAACCTGCCCCAGCCAAACTGCAACAAGAAAATAGCCAGGTGTTCTGGTGGGTGCCTGTAGTCCCAGCTATTCGGGAGGCTGAGGCAAGAGAATTACCTAAGCCCAAGAGCTGGAGGTTGCTGTGAGCTATGATGCTACAGCACTCTATTGAGGGTGACAAAGTGAGACTCTGTCTCTAAAAAAAAAAACAAAACATATATATATACATATATATATATACTCACACACACACACGCTTGCACATCTTGGAGATTGTTCTAGATCAAGTGCTCATCATGTTTGAAAATATCAGAAATACTTAACTATATACTATGCAAATAATAAAAGGAAAATAATGATATTTAATTCCAAGACTTTGCCACCCATCTACAATATTCTCCAAATCACTGTGGACAATGCTGATATTAACAATCATCTGTGTTGTTTGGTAATTTACCTGCTTCCTAAGCGTTGCTCTGGTTTCTTAGCCAGGAAGAGTCTGCAAATATCTTTAGCTTCCTCTGTGAAGTTATCATGTTGGAATCTGACCTCCTCTTTCAGAGTTCTTTGTTTTAGATCCTCTTTACTGATTTTTTCCTTGTAATCTTTGAATGGTGTTCGTCCAGCAACCATTTCATAAATACTGCATCCCATCGCAAACCAGTCCACGGGATAGGAATAACTCACCTTTTCCATTAGGATTTCAGGAGCCATGTACCCATTGGTTCCAGCCTATAACATTCCAAATAAAAAAAAAAAAAAAGAAAAGAAAAGAAAACAAAAAGACCAAGGTGAGTGCAGCAGACACTGCTGGTTGCCTCCTCAATACTCATTCTCCTTTTCCTTCCTTGTTCAGGGAACCCTAATTTGGGGTAGCAACGTGTCTATCCTATTCTTTCCCTGTTTTCCCAGCAGCCTCTGGTGTAGGCTGGGGAGGCAATGTGATCCCTTCTGGCCAATGAGACAAAGAATTGTTGAAGTCTTTATCAAAGGGACATGTGGCCGCTCTTGAAGTGGGAAAATCACTCAGCCCCTCCCAGTCTCCTCACCTCTGTTTAAGATGAAAAGTTCAGGGTGATATCTCTAACATCTCCTAAGCTCTGCCCCTTTTTGTAATTCATAGATAATATATTTGTTTTCCTTTGAGACAGAGTCTTAGTCTGTTGCCCTCAGTAGAGTGCCATGGTGTCGTTATCACTCACAGCAACCTCAATCTCTTGGGCTCAAGAGATCCTCTTGCCTCAGCCTCCCAAGTAGCTTAGACTACAGGCCACCATGGCTGGCTAGCTTCTCTATTTTTAGTAGAGATGGGTTCTTGCTCTTACTAAAGCTGATCTCGAGCTCCTGAACTCAAATGATTCACCCGCCTGGGTCTCTAAGAGTGCTACAGGCGTGAGCCACATTGCCCAGCCAATAATATAACTTTTTAAAGTTGAGCACTTTATTACTAATATTTGACGCTTGCATAATTTGATTTAGTTTATGATGTTTCTTACTCTATTTGATATGTAATGATATTAATATCATACATCTCTGCTCGTCTGACTCTGCAGTGAATAATTAACATTGTCCTTTTAATCAAGAAAATTGCACACATGAAATCTCATTTAATGTGCATGACTACATATCAGAGGTGCATTTCTACTGACTATATATGCAAACGATCATTGGGTTAAATATATACTTGCATGTACGTATCTATTTGTGGTAGTATACTTGTGATGTAAATGGCAAAACACACATAAAATTTACCATCTTAACCATTTCTCAGTGTAAGTTCAGTAGTGTGAAATACATTCACCCTGTTGGACAAACCATCTCCTGAGATTTTCTATCTCACCAAACTGAAATTCTGTGCTCATTAAACAATATCTTCCCATTTCCCTTCCCCGTAACCCTTGACAACCACCGTCCTCCTTTCTGTCTCAATAGGTGACTACTTTAGCTACCTCGTATAAGTGGCATTATGCAGTATCTGTCTTTTTATGGCTACACGTAATTTTAATGCACTTGTTTATTCAACAGATTATTTCATGAACACCTAAAACATACCCTGTTATCATAAAGTATATATGTCCATTAGAAAATATTTCACAAAAACTATATGGCTGCTCTTGGTTAAAGACAATGAATAACCTCTGTAGCAATTAAAAACACAAATATTGAACACCCTAAAATGACCATTAGCTTCTATTGTCACATGAAGAATGATAATTTAAATTACTGGCAGACTGGAAAACAGATAAATGTGCTCAGAAAATTGATTCAGCCTTTTAGGAGAGCAATATGACAGAGAATAATGGAGAATAAAAGGAATTAAATGCTTTATATCTTTCAACCAGATTCTTTAATTTTTGAGTATGTGCGTATAAGAAATGACTCAGAAGAACGAAAATCTATATTGAGATATTTGTAATTCCATTGTTCATAATGGTCACAAGCTAGAAATACCCAAAGGCCCATCAATAAAGACAATAAACCAGAGTTTATTCTTAATTCCAAGAAATGTATATATGTAATGCTTGTCACACACTGATTACAACTATGCATTTCAGTGTATCAAAACAGATTGGAAAAGCCGAGAAAGTGGTGTGTGTTTGTAGTCCCAGCTACTCAGGAGGTTGAGGCAGGAGGATTGCCTGTGCCTAGGAGTTCAAGGCTGTATCAGCAGTTCTCAACCTGTGGCCCCCGACCCACAGGAACCATATTAAAGGCTCGTGGCATTAGGAAGGTTGAGAACCACTGCTGTAGTTGGATAGAACAGCCACTGCACTCTAGCCTGGAGGCTAGACCTCTAGAAAGACCTCCTCCACTTTGAAGGAGCACTTTGGAAAGTGTTTAGGCTGTTTGTGAGGTGTTTTTTAGGTACACAGGATATGTCATGCTTTAGGAATAAGAAATTTTCTGGATAATTTCTACATGGATAGTAACAATGAAAAAACAAGTGATCCAAGTCCTAATGAAGAATAATTGGCCTGTACAAGGTCATTCTGGAAGAGACTGGGGTCTAACAGGCTGGGCATGAGTCAGCCCAGCACTGCTGCTTTCAGAGAAGCTGGTATATAATTTGGGTGACCATGTGTTCCGCTGTGCCCGGGACAGTCCCAGTTTACATCTGCCGTCTTGGCATCTTGTCCGGGTTTGCATTTGTCCAGACAAAAGGATCCTGTCGGCGCCACTGAGGCCCAGGGTCTACTCTTACTCATCTTTGTATCCAAATTCAGGCACTTATCACAGAGTCTCACTTGGTGCATGCCCAACCAAACTTTGGTTAAATAAGCAACAGTAAAGATTGTGACTAGATGTTTTCCATTCATTATGCAACAAACATTTACTGAGTCATGGCCTGCAGTGAGTTCCAGGAATACCAAGACATATAAGGCCTGTCCCCTGCCCTTGAGGATTTAGAGGAGCCTGGTGGAGACAGAGGGGTCAGAAGGTTAATTCAATAAAGCCGAGTACATATCATAATGAAAGTGTGAAGCAGGGAGGCCTAAGGGTGTGTGTGTGTGTGTGTGTCCGGCATGCTCACTGGAGACATGGCTGAGCTGAATCATGAAAAAAGAATCTGTCATCCAGGCAGTGAGCATGTGCAAGATGTGAAGATCAAAAAATGTGGGGCCTTTAAGGAATTTGGCGTTTTTGGAATATAGGATCTGTGGGATGTTAAGGCAGGAGGGGGCTGAAGGGAGAGATGTAAATGAGAGCGAGAAACTCTGTACGCCGAGGTAGCAAAATCCACCCCCAGTCTCCCCTTTTCTACTACAGGGTCCAGATGAGAAAGACACCATCGCCAGCCTCCTTTGCGTGTTGGGGGATGACAGGAGCGTTGTGGGAGAGGTGAACAAGCTGACCGTGCTGAAGGTTGGGAAAAAGGGAGTGAGCTTGTTTGGAAATACATAAAAGATAAGAGATGAACTAAATGAAAGGTCAGAGGGTGGATAGATGGATAGACATGTAATCAAGCTAATCTGTAAGATATTAATGGTGTCGTAAGGGAATATTGTTCTGTTGTAAAAAGGAATGAAGCTCCGATACGTTCTACAACATGGGTGAACCTTGAGAACATTATGCTAAATGGAAGCAGCCAGTCGCGGATGACCATAGATTACAGGATTCCACTCACGTGACATGTCCAGAGCAGGCAATTCCACAGAGACAGAAAATGGATTAGTGGTTGTTTAGGGATGGAAGGGCAGGGAAACGGGAGTGACTGCTGAAGGGTATGGTGTTTCTTCTGGCGGGGAAGAAAATGTTCTAAAATTGATTGCAGTAATGTTTTCACACCCCTGCAAATAGACTAAAACTCAGTATACTTTAAAGGAGTGGATTTTATGGTATTTAAACTGTACCTCAATAAAGCTTTTAAAAAGTCAATGATAAACTCTAGGTGATGGGTATTTCAGAGGTGCTCCCTGTGAAATTCTTTCGACTTTGCTTATAATAGAACATGGAGGGGGGCTCGGCGCCTGTGGCTCAAGCGGCTAAGGCGCCAGCCACATACACCTAAGGTGGCGGGTTCGAATCCCCAGCCTGGGCCCGCCAAACAACAATGACGGCTGCAACCAAGAAATGGCCAGGCGCTGTGGCGGGCGCCTGTAGTCTCAGCTGCTTGGGAGGTGGAGGCAGGAGACTCGCTTGAGCCCAGGAGTTGGAGGTTGCTGTGAGCGTGATGCCATGGCACTCTACCCAGGGGGACAGCTTGAGGCTTCGTCTCAAAAAAAAAAAAAAAAGAACATGGAGGGGGAAAAGCAGCGCGGGAAGGGGGATGTGATGCCAGGCTGGCTGCTGGCTCATCAGAAAAAAGGGGCTTTCTGGAAGAAGCCAGGGCAGAACAGCAGGAGGGAGTGGAGGAGGCGGAGTTCAGCCATCCAGTCCCCCCTGTGTCCTGGTTACACTGGTCCTAGACCACCCAAAAAGCTAATTTGTCTCTATGGCCAGATACATCAACTAGACCATGAGCAGCTGCCAGGGATGAAGGCTCCATATTCCACTACTTTGGTATTTCATCCAGTTCTGAATAGTGGAGGGATGACTTGGCCTAGATGAGCAGCTGGCAGGGAGCCGTCCCCGAGGCAGAGGGAAGCAGTGAAGTAGGAAGGTGTAGGAAGTTTGTGGCCCAGTGCACCAACGTCATTAATCTCCATGGTGCTGCCTGTCTTTTCAACCATTGGCTGTCGGTATTGGGACATTTTCTCATCTCATTTCTTTGACCATTTTCTCTCTTCCATTTTGGTCTCTTCTCATTTTTTTTTTTTTTGAAGTTCTGAATGTGTCCATTTGGTTTCTCATTTTCTGCTCTTCTTTTCTACAGCTGTCTTTATTTCTTCTTTCAGGGGGAGGGTGGTGGAGGAAGATTTCTTCTACTTTTTCTCTGACTCATCTACTTTTTTAAAAAGTATTTAATTGTGGGGAATTTCAAACATCTACAAAAGAAGAGAGACTCGAATAATGAACTCAGTGTACTTACACCCAGCTTCAACATCACCAGCCAGGGTCAGTCCTGTCTCACTCTGTTCCCGCCACTCCCCCTGCCCTTGACGGTCTGAGCCATCACACCATTCGTCCTTCACTACGAATCTCCAAAAGTAAGGCCACTTAAAAACAGAATGAAACAAAGCACAACAATACCGTTCTCTCACTTAAAACATAACAGTTCTTTAATATTATCAACAAATAGATGTTTACACTTATCCGGTTGTCCTACACACTTTTAAAACAGCTTGTTTACA